TCGCCAGGGCCCTGGTGTTGGTCTGCGCGCCAGAAAGCGGCGCGGGTGTGCGGTTATCGGCCCTAGCGCCCAGGGGGAGAGAGCGCCTCTCCCTGCCAGCCCCCGCCCTGCCATCGGGGGGCGGGGTGGGATGTGTGTGTGTTTGGCTGTGGTGGCTGTGGTGACAGTGGGCCAGGAAACCGACTTTTCTCCGAGAAGTACGTCAAGCATTTGGCAAATACTCAAAAATTCTCTATACAAACCGTGTAATACGAGCGTGTAATCCAGCCGAGTATATAATGGACGTTATGTGGATATGTGTGTCTCTCCCCCCACATATATGAAGACCTATCTATCCCTTATATAAAAGCTCATTTATCTTCTACAATAATCTGGCAAAGATGAATGCCTGTGATCAGAGGAACCAACGTCATGATTTGATCAGTCTCCTCTGGCAAAAGAAGGGAAATGTGTAGCCTTCATAAGTGCTTCCTTTTAATCATTTAAGGGCTTTACTTCTGTTATCTTGTCTCACGCTGACAGTAAAACTGGTTAAATCGAGGCGGGAGCCTTTTGGAGAGATCAGATTTATCGGTCAATAATTGAGGCTCCTGTACTTTATTTCTAAACACTCTTAAAATATTTTACTAATGGTTAAAAATTAAACCCAAATCTAACAACTGGCATTCAAAAGAATCTCAGCCAGAGGAATTTGTCTACAAAGGGACAGAAAATTCCATCATGCGACTGGTCCCAGTTTTCTTGGTTTTCTTGTCTCTCTCTTGTTTTTGTGGATCAGAGGTAAGAGTTTATTTTATTGTGGTAGCAGTAATTTAAAAAAAAAAAAAAAAGTTAAAAAGCAGTTTGTTGTTACAAAAGCAAAACCAGCTGATTTTTTTTAAGTTTCCTTTCATGGTATTTGTGTTTCATACGTTTGTTTTAGCCCAGCTTGAATGTTTGAAGCTTGCTATTTCTCTTTTATGTATTGATTCTATCTGGGGTTTACGCTAACAGGCTTCTGGAAAATACTTTAATCCTGATCCTATCCTAAACCCAATCTGCAAGCATGGCTGACCACAGAAAGGTGCTGCAACTTTCCCTGCCCCCTTTTTTTGAGAAATGCGATGTCAGTCTTCTAACGTGGCAACATGGTACATCGGACTGTTGGCAGGTTTGCTGTGGAACCTCTTCTGGCAGAAGTGTCCCAGAAAGCCCATCTGGGCTGAGCGTTCAGCGTGCCCCGAGTCTTTTAGAGAAACCTTTAGATAAAAATCAGCACCTTTTGTTCCTATTCAGGAGAAATGCTTGGTACACTATGGGAGTTATGCCAAGCCGGATCTGGCTCACAGTTCGGATTCTACTGACCCGAGAACAGCAGGAAGAATTTAATAAGCCATTATACAGCCATTAAAAGGGGGTTTGTTGGATTAAATTCTGCTCCAACAACATCCCCACTGACTTTACTATGGCCAGGGTTTCTTCACGAGAACTTTAAACTTCAGCTCTATGGATTCACTTGATGCAGTTAAAGCTGATAAATCTCATTTGAGGACTGACTCTTCTCTCCCATTTTTATGCCAAGTCCATCCATACATATCTTTCACATTTCAACATTCTTCATACCCGTAGATCTTTGTAAGCAAAAGCACAACAAAGTCACCAGAGAGCTGCACAAACACAGGTGTGGAGTCACTCACCTAGAGCCAGTCGGAGTGAGGGTCAGAATTTGTACTTGCAATCCAGTGATGACCAGCGACCACACTGCAAATCCACTGCTGTTCAAGATACAGGAAAAGAGCTGATAAGGAAGGGCACTTAATTTTTAAATTTCTGTAAGATACTTGTTACTTCAGCAGTCACACGGTGAAACAAATCATTAATTTTAGATTGATATATTTGCTTCTAAGTTGTTCATAAATATTTACAGGTGATATTTAAACCCAAAGCCAACCAAGCCAATAAAAAAGTTTCAGGAAGAAAAGTTGCTTTTTTTTTATTTTTCTGGTACTTAAGTCCCCTTATGTTTTGATTTGCTTAAAGTCCCATTGCTCTGGTGTGTCACAAACCATTGGCTTAAAAAATGTTCATAATCTGCTGTGCGCTCCAGCTGATGTTTGAAGAGTAAAGAATATAAAGTTTGTGGGAGACCAGTAAGACTGAAGGTCACACCAGGTGAATGATCCAAAAAGAAAAAAAGTTCAGAAAAACTAAGAAAGACAAGGTGGGCCAAAGACAAGGGAATAAATAATATAAATGATACTTAGCACCTCTGTGCTCCTAAGATAGGAAAAGGCTTATGAATGAACGCTTTGTTGAGGTCAGTAAAGGGATCTGCAGAACTCTTGGTGCAGTTCCTAGTCTTACTCTTTTTTTTTTTTAATTTTGTGCCTTGCAGAATGCAGCCTCTAATGCTGAAGAAAACCAGTTTCAGCAGGTTGAGCCTGCCCAGGCAGCTGAGCAAGACACATTCCTCATTGGAGAATGCTTAAGCAACCAATACACACACAAGTCCTGTGAGAAAGTTTTTTGTCACCCATGGGAACGATGTGTGGAGGGAAAATGCCTTTGTAAGCTCCCCTACCAGTGCCCAAAGAATGGCACTTCAGTTTGTTCCACCAATGGAAAGTACTTCCAAACCTACTGTCACCTAAAGAGCTACCAGTGTCAACGTCCTGAAGCAAAGTTTCTGCACAAAGGAAGATGCACGTCTGAAGGTATTAACACCTCCTTTTCCAACACATATCAGTCAGTCAGTTGCGGCCAAGGAGATGCTTACTATTTCCAGCCCAGGAAGTCTGTTCATTTCCTTGCACTAGTAAGAACATGAAACAGAAAAGAAGCCATTGAAAATGGGCAGTATCTGTTGATTTTCATAAAAATAAAGTGACTGACAGGCCCAGGTCACCCTGCTGCTGGTATGTTGCTCAAATCATCCGCTAGAAGGGGAAGAAATAGACATAGGAAAGAGATCAAAGGTTTCCAAGCAGGGTGTTGACTGTGGTGGGGTCACAGTGGGAGAGGACCTGCTGAGAGTGTTAGCAGAGAGGGCATTTTTTAGGTGGCCTCTTTTGGCAGCAGCAGTTGCTGTTCCTACCTGCCCTCCAGCCTCACTGCCACCGAATGCAGCAGGAGCAGTGAGCTGGGCCCAGGGCTCTCCTGCCAGGTCTCTGTCCCAGTACCTTCCCTCCCTTTCCCCACAGAAGCAGCAGCTCAGCTCATCACCCTCAGGGTGGCAAAATTCAATTCTGCCTATTCCACTGAAAAGGGTGGGAGAGCCTCGGTGTTCCTGGTGTGCTTTCTGTACGGCTTCGCTAATTTAAGCTGAGGACCTTAGCTCTGCTGTAAACAGCAGAATTTCTGCTACACAGGTAATAGAAGCAGGATCTGGCCATCTCACTTGAAGTGTTACTGGTTGGTTATCAAAAGTCCTGTGATAAAAATCATTATACTAAGATGCAACCTTTCCTCAGTAGACCTCCTGGTACTCTTACGTGGTAGGAACCATTACCCTCATTTCTCCTGAAACTGGTATATTTTGAAAAAGTGGCAGGCTCAAAGCCACAAAGTCAGTCCTCAAAAAAATCAGGAATAATGCCTGAAGCTTCTGATTCCCAGTCTACTCTTCCTTCCATATGAACTTTGGCTGTCAATACAAACTTAGTCCTGATTTGTTTCTGTGCTGTTTTTCCACGAGGTACATCTACATAATATGATCTTATTTGGGGATTTTTTTTATTTCTCTTTTTTTTAGGAACATTTTCAATCTCTGTGGACCATGGAGATTCAAATTTGCTTCGAGTAAAACCTGTGAATCAAAAGAACGACTTTTTTGTATGTGATAGCAAGTGGACTATGAATGAAGCAAATGTGGCTTGCAGGCACCTTGGCTTTGAATTGTAAGTTTGGGGGATTTATCTCTGGATAACTGCACGGGATCTGAAAAAGTAGCAACACTTACATAAGTGTCAGTCACAGTCAGCCAACAGGTAAGACAGAAAACTCATGAACAATGTATTGGCTGCAATATTCTGATAAAGCTTCTTAAATTGACACCTGAGAGTGAACGCCAAAATACAGATTTATGTGTTCTATTACAGATTACAACTATAAACCCCATAATTGCTTTACTTTTAAAATAAAGCTGAAGACCAATGCAGGGGTTTTCTCTAAGGTCTGTGTAAGGGACAGTGTGTAGATGGACAATCCCCAAGTAGTTCTGGGCAATAACCTGTATGCAGAGAAAAGTTTCTTACACTAGCTGACAACAGGGTACAGCTCTGTTTTGACACTTGCACCAGCCACACTAACAAGAACCAGAACGCGTTTTTTTTCTTCACCCTTTGCCCCCACTGCCACTGACTGCTTTGCCCCCAGGGATGGATGAAGCCACACAGAGCTTGTTCTTTTTCCTGCTATCACACTGCTGATCTGAGTTGCACATTCAGGTCCTCATAAAGCATCAGCTCTATATCCTGTACATAATAATTTTACACATATACAACTAATTGAAGTTAGTCAGGTAGGGCTGCCTCCCCAACCCTATCTGAAGACTAAAAATGCTATTGCAGTGCCCTAAATTGTCCCCTCTAGGTGAGAAGCAAGTATTGTCTAGTCCCAGTCAGTATCTCTTTAGATAGCAGAGAAGGGTTTGTCCTGGGACAGAGCATTCAGCCCTGAAGTCCCATTGTAAGCCTCTCTAGTTACTTATTTACCCGATCTGTATTTCTTTATGGTAGGGAACACATACGCTGTTAGGAGGATGCTGCTCAGGTAAAACCAAGGGAGATAAAATTTGTTAATCGCAGCCTTGCAGTGGCCTGCACTTCCTCAGTGTGCATTGGTTTTGATGATATCAAGGGTACTTGACCCCATGCAGGATGGTTTCCAAATTATGGCTCACCTGTGTCCAGACAGAGATAAAGATCTGAGCTTACAAGTTTTGCTATGTAAGGAGACTTTTCTATCCATCATGATACTCAGTGACTGTCACAGAGCTACATATTGAGTTAAGGACAGTCCTATGCAGCAACCTGCAAAAATTAGTACTTTGTTTACTTTTTCTTCCAAAGTAAACATCTCTTACCCCTATGACCAAAATTTCTTAACACTGAAGAAAATCATATAAATTCCCAACAATAAAAGCAGTGGACAGTCCATTGTGAAATGATATAATTTGATATTATTATTTGTATCTTCACAGAGGTGCTGAATATTACCAAGACAATTCCAGCATCACAGAATCTGCCTTAAATTCATTGCACTGTCTACAAATAACTTGCAGGGGCCTAGAGACAAGTCTTGCTGAATGTCACATAGAGATGAAATCAAGAGATATTAATGAGGAATTTGTTAGCCTCCAGTGCCAAGAAAATCTCAGAGGTTAGTATGTTTTTTAAATATATCTATTTACGGTTCTTACATTTTAAGTTTATTTTAAATAACTAGGATCTAGTTTGCTGAACTCTCAGCCACAACAAACCTGCACTGAAACCTTTTGATTTTTTTACATAACCCTTTTGCAGACTTTAAGACAATTGAGGCATTCTTGAGTCAAGACAGTCTTGAGTTTATGAGTTTGGAAAATCACTGTTCCTCCTAAGGTATTTTTACAGATCTTTCCCAAAAGTAAATATATTTCACCCATGGTTCTCTTTGTTCCCCATCCCTTCCAAGGGTACCAAGGTATACTGTATCCCACACGTCTTGTCTCTCTGGGTTAACTGGTGAAGTGACAACCTCCTACTCACTGTATTGTCTATGAGGGAAATCAGTTAGGACTATAGTAGTGCCATAGCCAGACAAACATGACTTCAGTGGAACTGCTCATGTCTTCTGGGGAGTTTCAGTACTCCTCGGTTGCTCACTGATATAAGGGGAATCAAGTCCTTGTTTTGACTTCTAACAGCTTTCTACTCTCCGTAGTGGGCTTTCTCTGGCACTGATAAGTATCAGCCTGAGATGCTGCTGGTTAGGAGAGCTATGAATCATCTTGGGTTTTTCTTATGCCACAAACGTAGGAGTTCACAGACTCTTGATGACCTCCTTCTAGAGGGGAAACATCCATCATCTTAATCACTTGAATCATTTACAGTGGGTTTGAACCAATCATTTCTGGTTTAGTCCTTGTCTAGAAGAAATTAAGTTCCCTTTTGCCAGGCCACTGCAAGTTGGAGGAGGAAAATAAGTGGTCACATTGAAAGCTTGAGGAGAAGGCGATTAAAACAATAAAAAAATATTCCTATTTACATTCCTGGGCCCCAGAATGCCTACTGTTGATAGGCCAAACTGCTGATAGAATAAAATATGCAAGCAGTGGGCAGTTGTGAACCTAGGGACATTTCCATGCTAACTTTGTTTTCATTGTGCTGCGCAGCTTGTTCAGATGGTGAGTTTCATTGTGTCAACAAGAAGTGCATTTCTCTGAATAAAACCTGTGATGGAATCAATGACTGTGGAGACCTAAGTGATGAACTGTGCTGTAGAGGTAATAATTTCCTTTCTCAGCTGTTTCAAAATAATTTCAGCAGAAAACCACACCCAAACAATTTTTATAGTGATGTAACAGCTAAAGTCTCTTTTCCAGTAAGTCACTACATTAAAGCAATCAAACCATAGTTTTTGTATACACACGTGCAAAAAAGTAGGTATAATACAATTTTTTGAAGGAGGCAAGTGATCTCTGAGAATATGGATTTCCTCAGAGGATGAGGAAATACAACGAGATTATTTAGGAGGCTGTTAAACATTGATACAAAACAATGAGCTGTGTTAGAGTGAAAATGTATTTTCAGTTGGGAAAATTCCATAGTAATTAAACAAAGACACTGTTTTTCCAATGAACTATCTTTAAACCAAAGTAAGCTCTCTCTTAAATTTATTATTAGTGCAAGATTATCCATAGAATATCTGTGAACAATTCCTGTCACATTGCTTGTTCATGAGCAGTCATTCTTTCAGCATCTGCAATTCCAGCTGTAGCAATTTTGATTAGAAACAAGGAGTGGATTTATCGTGACCTGAATGTAGGAGAATACTTTCAGAAGTTGGGTTTCAGGTGCCAAATGGTAATGTGGGTTACAAATCCCATGACTATCCCTAAATAACCTTAATTTTTTAGTTTTACAATTGTCAGTACTAATCCGATGATCATGGAAACACAGTCACAGGTGTTTTAGAAAAACAAACCAATAAATACCTGTGGCTTCATATAATTATTCTGAAATCTGAATAATTTATTGAGATTCCACTTGACCAAAATAGTGCTGTTTCAGCTGTATGGGCTGAAAACAATGCTTCCTGGAATCAAAGTAAGTATTTCAACTGAGTTCAGTGGTCTTTGGATCATATTGGGATATCTGGATACTTTCAGAGAACAATCTTATTTTCTGTTAAAGGCATATATCCTTAAATAGTAGACTGACATAGGATTATAAAGTAGCTCAAAAAATCCTGCCATAAATTCAAGCACTGCTTTGCTTTTGATAATATACAAAGTGATCACAAGAATTAAAAGGAAGGGAATTCTTGGGTTTATGATAACATTTCATATAATCAAGAATTTTGGAATAAATAAGTTATTAAATCCAGTATCTTCAAACTAGGACTCTCGATTCCTAACCTTGCATTTAGACATTTAGCTCATTCAACCAAAATTGCGCCTGGACTCTGATTTTGGTGGGGGAAATTTGATGCAAGCATCATAAATTCCTCATTTGAGATGATTAGTAATGCTGGCAAAACTGGATGTCCTTTGGCTGAGGTTGAGTGTGGGCATGTGTTATGGGTGAAACTGGTAAGGAGTGATACCGAGTCTAGAAGTACAGTACTGAACCGGTAACAGAGATCCACGTTTTTTAAGTCTTAAAACTTCAAGATTGTAAAATTAGGAGAGCCAAGCATTCATTCATTTTACACTTACAGAGCCTGCTTTTGTAATCTATTTATGAACAGCCAAGTTCCCCATAACATGGATATTAGATTGTGTTTATATTTTAAAAAAGCTCTCTATGTGAGGTTGCTGAATCATATGATCCTGTGATTTACATTTGTGATTCTCCTGTGTTACAGAGTGCAGAGACAACAGTTTCCACTGTCGGTCAAATATCTGTATTCCAAATAAGAATGTCTGTAACAAAGAAATTGACTGCCTCACAGGAGAGGATGAAGCTCGAGTTCTCTGTGCAGGTTTCCTTCTGAAAGATGTTTTTGTTTCTTTCCTTTCATTCTGCTTGACTATAACTAGACACTGCACAATGCATATTATTAAATTATGTAACAGATTAGCAAAAGCAAAATTCATGCAACAGTTAGTGTTCCCAATGTTGTTATGCACAGTAGGAAGAAAAGGTTATGTAATTTTCCTCCCTTCTAGAAAAAAAACAGCAAGAAAACTAAAGGAAGAAGGAACAGATGATGTTTTAGGAGGCTTAAGGCAGATTCTCTCTTGCTTACGTGGCTGTCTATCAAACTGGTATCCCGTATTTGTGAAGAAAGCGTAGACAGGGCGGGCAGGAATATTTTCCTCACAGATGAGTAGTCTGTCAATATAATAATTCTCCTGCACTGTTCCCCTCACTGTCAAAAAGATTTTGTTTTGGTTTGAAATTAGAATGGTTTTCCTTCCTCCAATAAGAGACAAAGTCTAAAGACAAAAAGTAAACACTACTGGTAAAGGGTAATTGGTAAACTGAACTCTAAATGTAAACATCACTGTCAGTAACATGAGAACAGACCCAATCCTCAACCTCCCTTTAGGAACTGAATTCAATGGGCATTTTCTTTGAACAAAAGCTGACAAGCCAGATTCAGGAAGCATTTAATTTACTTCTCATGTTGAATACTCTCCTTTACCCCATTAAAGAAGGCACACAGTACACAACAGCATCATCTAAATTGGAAAGAAAAATAAAATCCGATTACCTAATGCTCCTTTGGCCTTTAGAAAGCTCAAAAAGGTTGATGGGGCAGGAGGAGGAATTTCTGTTGCTTCCTGATGGAGGAGAATGGGCTATCACTTTAGAGCTCAAAACCCCAAAAAAGCCCATTTCTTAGTGTTTCTTTGCAGAAGGACTCCCTTGGCATGGAAGCCAGAGTAGATGTCATACAGTGATGAATGAGGGAGGCAGCCAAAGAGTGTCTGGTAGGAAAGGAAACAGCAGGCACAAGGCTGAGAGAGTATTTGCTGTCCATGTGAAATGGTGTGCCCTTATGCTTTTAAAATGTGTACCATGATTTTGGCACACAAACATATATTCAAGTAATAGAACAAATGTAAATGTTTGCCAGTATTTTTAGTATTTTGTTATTCTACTACAGGCAAAAACAAAGATGATGAAAATCACAGTATGGATGAAGGTAAGTGTAACTAACCCTCCAAAACCACCAGCATACCCTCTTACTAGTGGCTCTCTACCTACCAGCCAGCTGATCAGATCCAGAATGCTCAGATACTTGGACTTTGTGATTTAGTTATATACACTCTGGGGCTTACTATTTGTCTTGCTCTCCACTAATTTCAAGAATACCATAATAATTCATCCTGGCTGAGGACCCACATCTGCATGTTTTGGCAAGTGGCAGAGGTAAAGTCTCAGCAAATTAGGGGAATTGCTTTAAAATTATTTGCCTGAATGCAAGCAGCAGTGGAAAATGAAGAGAAGTAATGTGATGCTAAGGCACAAGCAATTTTCAAAGCAAAAACAGATGCCAAAATTTTTAGTCTTTGCTTTCCTGCTACTTCAGCTACTGGCATATTCACAGCACTTAGATTTTTAAGATAAAGACAAACCTGTCTCCAAATAGAGAGAATGGATACCTGGATTCTGAGACACATTTTTCCTTTTTGTTAAAGAAAGAAAGAAGATAAAGACACTTCTTCCCCAACTACACTGTGGTCTTACAAATCACACATTAACTCGACGGAAAAGAATCATAGGTGGAGAGGTTGCAAGAAAGGTAAAAAACCACCCTTATCAGATAAGAGTTCATTCAGCCTCAATTTAAATGGGCATTATTGTCCTTCTGTTAAAAGGTATGGAAATAACAAAATCAGCTACAAAATTAATTTCACATTTTGCAGCAATAGAGGCATTGCACTGAACCAAAGTGAAGAGAAGCACAATTTATAAAGTAAAACATGGAGTTGCAAAGTTGAGTATTACAGTGCAAGTACACATTGAAAATTACTCAGCAAAATACTTAATACTAGAAATAACAATTCTGACAAAATGGAATTTAAATTTGTGCCTTTGAAACACAATAGAGTCAAAAATGCTATACTCTAACATACCAGGTCAGATTCTACATGTTTCTCTGGCTACAAGGGGTTTCATGACAAAAAGCTGAAGGGAAGGAGGCATCGAACAAAGTCAGAAGATTGAACAAAATTACTGCATTTTAGAATAGATATTCTTTGTATCAGATGGAGCCCAATTCACAATTTCTGGATAGCAGATTTTTTGTTTACAATCATATATAGTCAAAGAGATGAGGTGATACCAAGAAGTATGTTTCCCTTTATGGACTAAAAATAGTATGATTATTATGATTTCACATTATTTGGGTGTTTGTTGTTTGAATAGGGTGAATTCCCTTGGCAAGTGGCAATTAAAGATACTGGCAGTGAAGCTACGACGGTGTACTGTGGCGGGGTTTATATTGGTGGCTGTTGGGTTCTGACTGCTGCACACTGTGTCAGGTAAAAACAATAAACTGGGAAATTATTTCTTGCAAGGCAGAAAGGTTGATTTGGATATTATTGCCCTTCTTAGCTACCTGTTTGCTAATTCCTATTTGCCTATTGAATAAAACAATTTAAAACACTGACTCACTCACATTAACTATGGGGAAGATTGAGAGAAACTAGAATGTTTTGGCAGTGAACAGAAAGGTGAAAAGGTAACGATGAATTTGAAGAGACACGGCATTCTTCAGTCAGATAGTAGGCAGGCAGGAAAGGTTCACTGTAACCACTTTGCCTGAAAGGGAGATACAAGGGACCTTCTCTCTTCCCCATCTCTACCTTGGTGAAGTCCAGGATCTGTTCCCTGAGAATGTCCCTGGGGTCACGTATTGCCCAGAACAATCAAGAGCAGACAGGGAAGATTTGCCAGTCCCAGCATCCCACCCACATCTGCTCACTCTTCTTTTGCTTGAAATCAGAGAGGCGTAAACTCCTGCTTTCTCTTTGTCACAGCACTAAATACAGAGCCTGGCCTTTAATTTCTGTATTAGTTGCAGTACTCAGCAGTTAATGACATCTGCCTTGCATTTGCTACACTTCAGGAAAACCTGGACATCAAGTCCATAAAGAAACTATACGTATATAATATGAATTTTTATTCTACAGAAACTTTGCTAAAATCCAAAAGTTTGCAGCTAATTGAAATGTACAATGCTTGTGTTAATTAACAAAGCATATTTTATTTCCCTGTTTTTTTCCAGGGCAAATCGAGTTCATCTGTACCGTGTCTGGATTGGAATGTTGGATACAATACAGTACAACAGAGAGACAGATACTTTCAGGCTAAAACAACTGATAATCCATGAAAATTATAATGCATCAACTTATGAAAATGACATTGCTCTGCTGGAGCTGAGAGGTTCTGGGAAAGGAGAATGCTTCTTGAAAGACAGCACACCTGCCTGTATCCCCTGGTCAAAGTATATGTTCAAGACCGGAGACACATGCAAGGTTTCTGGATGGGGACTAGAGAAAGGTATTTGCTTTAGTGCTTACTACAAGAATGTCTTATTTGTATCACTTGTTTTCTAATTGTGGTGAACTTTCGTTCTGAAAATGCTGAAGAGTAATTGTGCACAAAGCACTCGGAAGAGGCTGCGTACAGAGAACGTAGGCTGTGGTTCTGTGTTGGGCTGTCGCTGTTCATTCTCCTTTCTGTACTGCTTCCTCTGCTGTTTCAGCTACTTGGTAAATCGGTCTGGAGGACACCCCTGGCTGAAAACTACCCTGACAATAAGAAATGTTTCTTTTGCCAACCTAACATTTATATTGGCTGTGGAGACCTGGTAATGATATTTAACAAGTGGTGGTTAGTAGCTCACAGTGGCCTGTAGTCACAGCCCGTCCTCTGTCCCCTGCCCAAGGGGCTCTGAGCTGCAGCCAACAGTTACAAAACTCGGCACATCTTGTCTCAGCCGTGTTTGAGTTTAGCCCAGAGAAGGTTGCACAGAGGCAGATAAGCCAAATGTAATCACTCTTTCAAAGATTTAGGAAGCATTTGGTTTGTATCACAGTGATTACAACTGCTGTTGGAGCTACTGCATGCTGGTTGTGAGGCTTCTCCTGTCCATACACAGTAGCAGTCCATAAAGCAAATGCAAAGCTGGGAATTACTAGCAAATGGACAAAGAACAAAACAGACTCTCCTTAACCTTGTGAATACTTAGTTCACCTGTATCTTCAGTATCTGTTCCACTCATCCCAAAAAGACAGAGTAGAATTGGAAAAAAGGTAACAAGGATGATGAGAGCCACATCTCCATTTCATAGAAAACAATGTACCAGTTTCCCAGTGTCTGAAAACCTTGATATGGAAAACATGGGCAAAAACTGAGCAAGACAAGGAAAGGGAAGGGGTGAAAATGTCACAAAATGAAAGTACTGTATTTAACACTGCTATTAAACCACTCTGCTTTTATTTTGAAATATGTGGCTGACGTACTGCAGTTCATACAGGATGTTATTGGCAGTTTAAGGTATCTGGTTTATAATATTGAAGATTATATTCTGTAGATAAGCAAATATATAACTTTCAATTTAAGATATTAAAAGTGTCTAATATGTACTTACTATTCTTACTTTAGAAAAATTTATTCTTTTCTTTTCTAGGTTATACGAAACAATTTATCCTCAAGTGGGGCAATGTTAATTTATTTCAGAATTGTTCCAAATTGTATCCAGGACGATTTTTTAAACAAATGGCATGTGCAGGCAAGCATCAATTTTCTTACTATAATTTCTCTACCCTCAAACTCACTGTTTATAAGATCAGACATACTGGCTGGGAATCTTTCAGACTTGGGAAAGACAATAAACCGATTGCCACACTATCTCCATTAGCAAAATACTAGCCCTTGGAGCCTAGATGCATCCACCATTATACATCTATTTGTAAACAGGGTTAAGATGACAGTATGCCCAGGTTCTGTGATTACGCGGGCAAATTTTGGCATGCAATTTGAGTTATGTTATCTAAATACACAAGCACTTTACAGCCTACTGAACTTTCTATCTTTACTATATTTGATTCTGATTCAGCAACATATTTAAGCAAATGCCTGTCTTAAGACTGCATTAGTAGTCCCATTGACTAGAATGTGACTATTCATCTGCTTAGACATTTGCTACTACCACACTGCACCCCAGGAAGAATATGATTAACTTTTCAAACTAAGATTAGTCTGGCCAGGAAACTGGTTGTCACTCCTAGTACTAAAATAAGGATTCTGACTTCACATTTTTTGCTTCTCAAGTAACAAAAGGTATTGCCAAACACATGACTAAAAGATCAATGAGTGTTCAACTTAGAGGGCAGAGAGACAGTTTCAACTGTTCTTTAAATCAAAAAGTAAAGGCACTATTTAAACAAACTACTTAATGAGAAAAATAAAAACCAGATATAAAAGCCAAATCATTTGTGATAAATTCAGCATGACATCTATAAGATACTTGGTTTGTCTACTGTGCAAGTTCTGTAACTTAGCTCCTTGATCTTCAATGTATTTCAAGTGATCATACTTTACCAGGAAGGAGCAAAGACAGTATCACATGGGACAACATCAGAAAAGTGGTATCTGGGGTTAGCTTCCCCTCCCTGATGCAAATACAAACTGGAATTAAGGGCTAGTATCCATGGGACTTAGTCATACAAACAAATATTAATTAAACTGAGTAAAGGCAATAAAATCTTGTTTTATAGGATTAGTAATTCCAACTCTGAATTCACAGACCCCTTTCTCAGTAATGTAGATTCAAGAAAGAGGTTACGTTTTAAAAAACTTGGAGACTCATGCTTAGTATGGGGTCCTTCATACTAGGCAATCAACCAAGCAGAAAAGTGTAGTAAAGGTATTAGAAATTAATAAACTTTTACTTACTATAGAGGACAAAGCATAAATCATATTCTAGCTCTGTAGCAGATTCTGTTATATCACATCCTTCACTCTTAATTCATTTTTTCACAAGCACTGTATTTGCTGAATTGCAAACAAGTAGTTCCATGCGCACTGAAACTTATGAAGAGCACTGGATCCTACACATTTGTGCCTCAGGGACTCTTATCTGGTGTTGCGAAAGGTCCACACTGTGACCGAAACCGTGCAGTGAGGGCACATACACACAGTTGCCCTCCCTCCCATCCCAGCATTCACATGCTCTCCTTCTTGGACCTGCCCACCTATTTTCATAACGCTGGTAGAGAAAATAATTTTGAGGCCTCTGCCTCTCTGTACAGATGAAACTGGCCAATGAATTATTGGGTAGAGGACACCAAAGGCAGACATGTAGGCATACACGTACTATGACAGCTTCATTTCCATAGGAATCAGCCTACAAACCTTTTTGCCTTTTTCCTCACATTTCTGTCCACTTTTTATGAGCTACTTCTAATAATGTAATAGGCGATATGGCTGAATTCTTCTCTATTGCACAGGGTAAAGCAAGACTCATGTCACTGACATCAAAGCAAATGAGGAGAATTTGGGCCAGCCACAAATGTAAAGAGAGGCCCCGCACTTAAAAAGAAATTAGAAGTAATATACCAAAGAGGTTAGGAACTTCCTTTACTGGTGACCATTAGGCAAACATCTGTCAGGAAGCGACATGGACCTGAAAAACCTCCTGAGCTCTGTTTTGTGTGCTAGCATATATATTAACTTATTTTTGCTTTTCATTTCCTCTTTTGCTTCAGGTACTTACGATGGCTCCATAGACAGTTGCAAAGGTGATTCAGGAGGACCCTTGGTCTGTTTTGATGCAGAAAATGTGGCGTATGTCTGGGGTATTGTGAGTTGGGGTCAGAACTGCGGGGAGGCTGGTCACCCTGGGGTGTATACAAAAGTCGCCAGCTATTATGATTGGATTAGCCATCATGTGACGAGGAGCCTCATTTCACGGTATAATATCTGAGGATCGGAAAATTAAATACTTCCTTCTTATCACCCATGCAAAAATGAACACTAGTCCTTTTTTACAATCAGCAGCTGTGTAACTTAGCAACAAGTAGTACAAATCTTTAAAGAATACATTTTGAAAATCCTTAATGCTCTATGAATACCACAATTTTGCAGAAGCCTGTAGGAAGAGAATTTTACAGTCACATGAGTCCGCAGCAAAAGTCTCTAATAAAAGCAGGGAAATTAAAATATCTTGTTGTTACCTTGGGTTTTTTTTTCCACATTTCACATTGCATTTCAATTGCGGTTGTTTATTTATTTAAAATGGACAACCATACTGAAAGCAGTGGTTGGAAAATGACTGCGCTGGCAATATGTGAACTTCACAGAAGGACAGCAACCAGAGTACTTTAAAGAACTTGCATCATCTTGGGGCCTAGGTCACTAGAAACCTGCAGGATGCTGCCTTGCTTGGCAGCTGAGTCTGTAGCCTTACTGAGGAAGCAGACTTCAGACCATTTATTAATTGACAGATTGACTATGATCATGTTGTCATGCAACAGTTTTTTCAGCTACAAACTCAGACAGTCTTTACCTAGTTAATATACCTCACCTAATCACCTAGCTTGGGGCAATCTTTGTAGTTCTAAGTTCTATTAATTTAACCACAGCTGGTCACAAACAACAAAGGAATTTTAAAGCTTGAACCTTCAACTTAACTGAAAAGCCTCTTTACTATCTTAAGTTCTCTGTGTATGTATATATATATTTCTGGTATCCAACAAACTCTTAACATCAAGTAGGGTTTTACCGTGTGTATATATATTTTTCGTTGTTTGTTTTATATATACACACATACACACACAATTTATATAACAATACAAGTATATAAAAATTAAAAGCATATATATTATACATACAGACTTAATTCTACAAAACCAAGTTACAGACCTAAAGTTAAAAATTAATACTCTTAGCCACATACCACCACCCCCAGATTCTCAAATTAGCACAAGCTTCCTATACCGATATACAGAACTGTGGAACGGTAGTGCCAAGAAAGAACATCCGGGGCCTGATCCTGCAGTGTGCAGTCAGGGGGAGTTTTGCTACTGCCTTAACTGTCCCAGAACCGCATGAAGGCAAGGGGCCATCAAAAGAACTGGGATGATTAAGCAGAAAATCCTTCTGCTTTCACCAATCCTTGTGAGGAAATTCTGCCCACGTGAAAATCAGGAACCACAGCACAAATGACCACTGCATAAGCTACACATTTTTAGACAGCAGTAATGGTGCCTGCTATAAGAAAATATTGGCATATATATATATACTAGTCTCACATTTGGCGAGAGTTACGCACAGAAAGTGTGCACAAATTTTTTAGAAGTACCAGAATTCAGTTTGTAGCTTGGTACCCTTGACACAAAACTGTCAAACAGCTCTAGGACCATCTCACTCAGTTCTGTCAAACTGCTCGATAGTTTTAGAATCATAGAACCATAGAATCGTTTATGTTGGAAAAGACCCTTAAGATCATCAAGTCCAACTGTTAACCTAACACTGCTATCCCACCACTAAACCATGGCCCTAAGCACCTCATCTGCCCGTCTTTTAAATATCTCCAGGGATGGGGACTCGACCACTTCCTTGGGCAGCCTGTTCCAGTGCTTGACAACCCTTTTGGTGAAGAAATTTTTCCTAATGTCCAACCTAAACCTGCCCTGGTGCAACTTCAGACCATTTCCCCTCGTCCTATCGTCCGTTACCAGGGAGAAGAGGTTGACCCCCACCCCACTACAGCCTCCTTTCAGGCAGTTGTAGAACAGACTTCACTGTATTCCAATTTACAAATATTTTTAATATGTTTTACTTTATTCCTCTCAATTATCCTGTTGAATAAATGGCATATATTCATACAACACAGTTGTGGTGGTGTTTTTTCTAGAGTTCATCACAGTCTGCTTCAGACAACATCTTTACATTTTCATTGACTTTTCTTCATCTTCCAGTCTTGTAAAAAACCCACATCAGCATGAATTTGCCATGTAAAGACACTCTCAATCACCAATAACTAAAGTAGGGTATGGATTGCTTCTCCTAACCAACACCCCCCCCCGCCCCAACAAGGTTTGCTATTTAGGAAAGCATTTAAGTACATTCCTACACAGGAATTGTTTTGCTGAATCAGGGTCTTTGCACGGTAATCATAGGGAAAAGCTGGGCAGGTGTAGGAACAGCTCCCTCTTTTGTTTGAATTAACTTCTGTAAAGGACTTTTTCCACCTATTTCTTCAGTTAACTACAAATAATATTAAATGCTGAGGCTGAAAAGAAAAAAAAAAACAGTAGAATATTTACCATGTATCTTTCTGCTCTGCCTGTTGATCTGGAAGTCTCTCGGTTTTCTTTCCATTTCCTGTTCTTTACAGTTAACTTTGTCCTGAAGCCCAATATTACTATGTTCTGAGGGATTCCACACGTCTTAAAAGAGAGCTTTCATTACAAAAATTAAAACAATTTCCACATGGTTCCACTTTAGCTCATCCATGAAGCATCTAGAATTTAACACATAAAATAAATAAAAACTCTATAATAAAAAAAATCCACAAAACCAAATGGGATGTTTAGCAAACCAGTTCACTTTGGTCTCATTTGTCTTTTCAGCAAATCAGGACTGGGCTTTTAATGTTTAATAGATATACTTTCATTTTGCCCTCTTTTACAACCCCGTCCTGCATATTTGATGATGTTACCTGAAGCTGAATCACTCACATGTGTAAAGGTCAATGGATTGGTTTCCTCCACATTGAACATAACGAAGTTAACGTTTTAACACTTCAAGTACATATTCCCTACTGCATATTTATGGCTTCCAAACAAGTGTGCTTTCCAAAACTCATGTTTTTGTAGCTGTATTAACACAAGTTCTCCCCCTGGTAGCACCAAAGGAGAGCAGTGCATGGGTTTGGGCACATTCCTCCCACAGGCAGCGTTTGCTCCGAGCCCCCACATAAACCAAGCCCCAGTGCAGCTGGCACTAAACCTGCCCTTCCTTCCATTCAGCCCCATGGATGCAATGTCTCAATGGCTGGCTAGAAAATCAGCCTTTCTCTCTTTCCTCCAAAACACTGCTGCTGTCTCTTTCACATTTAGCAAGGCCAAGTTCACCACTGCTGACACAGTCACCAAATAAAGGTTTTCTAAATAAAAACGTGCTGGGATTTCCTATTATCTGATAGCACCGGTACCTCCCAGGGCCCTGCTCAGCCAGTGCCACCCTGCCATACAAACTGGCAGCCAGCTGCTCTCCCGGTTTGTATCTGGACAGGTTTGGAAAAGGTCCCCCCATGGAACAAGGGGCACCATGACCTGCTGGAGACGGCGGCGTTTCTCCTGTTGAAACAGCCCGTGTTCTGACGGGGTAGGTGCTGGGCCACGTTTTGCAATGCCTCCTCCCGAGACCTGTCGGTGGGGGTGAAAGGCTCAGCCTAACTTGCACCCTTCTCCCCCCTCAGAGCCACCACTGATTTTTCTCTCTCTAACGCACCCCAATCCTTCCCTCCGACAGGTGACTGTTGGCGGTAGCCCAGGAAAAGGCGTTTTGGCCATGGCTCACAGCCCTGCTCCAGCCGTACTTTCGCACAGGATTGTCCTCCTCCGGCGGAGGCCGCAGCGGGTGCTCAGGGTCCCCCTTCCTTCTCCCAGGTCCCCCCTTCTTCCAGGCCCCCTGCTCTCAGGCCCCCTGCTCTCAGGGTCCCCCCTTCCCCCAGGCTCCCTTCTCCCAGGTCCCCCCTTCTCCCAGGTCCCCCCTTCCCTCAGGCGCCCTTTTCCCAGGC